TTCACTTTTTTGGTTTGTTTGATTGTCAAATTCCTTTCTATGGAAGACAATTATATCATTTCCTATTAATCATTTCATGAGAGCATTCATTGAAATAGGCACATTGTTTAAAATTTACAGAGAACTTTCAGTATAATGTACCTTTATTATTGAATCGGTAATTAACTAAACATTAAAGACATTTTGAATTTGATCAAAAACAAAGAGTATGATTAAGATAATTTCCTTTAGGTAAAAAATAATACTGTGTAGTTCACAAGAATGTCTTTCATATTTTTCTCCTACAATGGAAATAGCCCCACTCTCCTTTGATTTTTCTTACACATTTCACTCTATTGTGTTCTCTTTATTTTCTCCTTCCTCATATTGGTTTATAAAAGCTTTAAAGTCAAGAGACTCCATTTTAATTGACTTAGAGCAGGAAGGGACCATAAAAAACAATTAGTCCAACTTCTATCTTGCAGATAAGGGAACTGAAGCCCAGGTTCTAGGAGTCTAAATCCAAGGTTTTATATCATGCTCTTATCTATATTTTTATCCTAGGCATAATCCTTACCTCCTCACTCCCTTTCACCTCCATTTCCAATCACTTGTCAAGGCTTCTCATTTCATCTTCATAACATCTCTTCTACATGTCCCTTTCTCTCTTTCTCTCTCTCTCTCTCTCTCTTTTTTTTTTGATACTTCCACTACTGTTGTAACCATTAACCTGGTAACCAGGTCATCACCCTGGCAACTATTTTTAAATCATGAGCCATACAGAAACAGGCAGTGGATCTGAATTGGTCCATCGACCATAGTTGCTGACCCCTGGTTGAGATGTAGTTTCACAGGATACCCTTTGCATTGATATATACTAATGATATTTATCTTAAAGAGAACAAACAACAAAGAAAAAACCACTCTAACACCAATATTCTAATGGTAATGACTTATATCTATGGATCATGTAACACATCTTTTAACAATCAAAGATATAGTTGATCCAAAGGAAAGTGGAAAAATATTTGATGATTACAGTTGGCTGCAGTGTATTGTCAGTAGTGGCTTTCATGCAGGAACTGACATAAAATCCATTGAGGAAGTTCATAATCAGGAAAGGAGGTTATTCAGTCATATGAACAGAGCAGAAGATAACATAAGGGTAGCTCCTATGCTGTTGTGATATTGGATGAATTATATTGGATGAATCTGCCTTAGGAGGGTTTATCATACCAGTACAAGAATATTATATGAAAACAAAGGCACAGATATGTTTCCATATGCACAAGTGAAGGTAATTCCCACAATGATAAGCTCACAGATCCACTACAGCATGAAACATTAACACATATCATATGAGAGTTTTTATGTCATCTTAATTGCCACAGGTTATCCCATATATTTGAAATTTCACACAAAATTATGTTTATAGAAAACACGAAGACCAACTTATTCTACCTTTCAATTGAATATTTTATATTATAACCATGACAAGTTTTAGGAATGTTATTTTTATTCAAGAAAAACATTATCTATTTATATAGTCAGGCAAAAAAAAATTGTGACTTTTAAGTGTTTAACAATAGTCCTAAGATCAAATTAGCAGAAACCATCCCCTTTCCATACCAGTATTCTCTTGAGTCTCCACTGGTTCTCAAATACACTTACTTCATCTACACAAGGAAAAAGGCAAAAAGCTAAACCTGTTGCTACTTAAAAGTTTATGGTAATATTTCAGGTTGATATGGTTCCTTTTATACAAATGCCCTAATTTCTTAAAGAAATAATTTTGAATTTCTACTTACTGTGCTAGGTGCTGAATTGACACATCTGAGTTTCCAATTGAAAGTATCTGTAAGAACACATTAATGAACACTATTTGTGGTTTAAAAAAAAGCTTGAAATAAAGTAGGTATTCATTATATATGATATTATTGTGCCATAAGAAAAGTTGAACATGAGGAATTCAAAGAAACAAGCAAAAGTTTGTATAAACTGATACAGAGCAAGATAAGCAGAAACAATAGAGCAAAATACACAATGACAACAGTAATGCGAACAAAATAACATTAAAAAGTATGTGAACTCAGACCAATTACATTGAACAGTCTTGGTCTCAGAGAACAGGAAATGAAACATACTTTCCTTCTCTTGGTGGAAAGGGGTAGCATAAATATAGAATACTGTCTACACTGTTAGGCACGCTTGATTTGTTGGTTGGTTTGACTTAATTATTTTTATTGTTACAGAAGAAGATTCAAAGATATGTGAGGGGACTACTATGATACTATAAAACAAAAGTTATCAAAAAAACTTATCTTTTTAAAAGTCATCAATGTCTTTCAATATAATGACAATTAAATCTTAAAATTAGTAGCAAAAAAATGGCATGAGGTAAAGAATGGGATTATTTAACTGATCTAGAGAATAAGTAGAATATCACTAAAAACAGTAAGTAAGTCCCGTTCTGGATTCACTTTTTTGCCTGATTTTGGTAACTGATGTGTATTTAAAAGAAAATAGAAAAGAGTTTTTTTCTTTGTATCTAATTTATCTTTGACTTCATTTTTTGAAATATCCATGAGATGTTGAATAAATAAATGATCTGGTGGGCTAGTATTAATGTCTGTACAATAAATTGAGGCCTCTTGTTGATTTTTCAACATTTATTCAAACAGTTGCCCTTAGAATAATCACTTGATTACTACAAAATTAGAATAGTGGCAAAATAATTAGTTAAAGTGAAAGTTACCTTTAATTGTCATGCTCAGGCTTTTAAGTCCCTCCTTTGAGAACAGGCAAAACTTCATTAAATTGAAATATTAATATTTTCTAATTCAGGTAGTCTAAATTGCAAAGATGACCCATTACCCTTGCCGATTTGTTTTTATTTTGTCATTTGATAAGTGATGAGCTGGAATTCATTATTCTTATTCTTTATATTATTATTCTAAGGAAATGAACTTAGAAAATTAAGACAGTACTTTGATTTCTAAATGTGGCATGGAACATCATAAGCCATGTCTCCAGTACCTAACACAGTTCCTTACACATAATAGGTTTTTAATTCATGTTTGTTAATATTGTTGAGCTGTCAGTACTGACTGTGTGACTGTGGGCAAGTCATTTTTTAAAATTTATTTTTGTTGTTGTTAAAGTGCTCCTTAGGTAAGTTGTGAAACTGTTACCAATTAATATTAGTAGAGAAAATTTTCACCCCCACTGAATAATTTTTAAAAGGGAAAGCAAATTGCTTGTAACAAGTATGTATAGTCAAACAAAAGAAACTCCCAGATCTTGCCCTAAATGTCTTATTCTGAACCCCTGTGTTTATCACCTCTCTCTGAGGAGGTGGAATATTTCACCATTGCTTCTCTGAAATTGTGGTTTGTAATTGTCTATATTAAAGTTCTTGAAATTTTGAGGATAATTTGTTTTTGCAGTGCTGTTTTTATTGTTTAAATTGTTCCTGTTCTGATCATTTCACTCTATCAGTTCATACAAGTCTTCCCATGTTTTACTGAAACTGTCCTTTTTGTAATTTTTAATGTCATAGTAGTTTTCTGCTAATTCATATACCCTAATTTGTTCAGTTATTCCTCACTTGATTGACATCCCCCTTTAGTTTCAACAATTTCATAACTGGTTCTCTAAACTATTTGTTTAATATATAATGTGGTTGACACGCTTCATGAGAATTCCTTGAAAATATAACTATTAAAGACCTTTGAACAGTATGAACAGAAAGGACTTTTCTGTGGTTACATGCATCAAGTAGGAACTTACATGGTGAAACATTTTCATGGATGTCTTCATTTTTTATAGTACATTTGCCCTGAAGCCAGACATTAATACTGAAATATTTGCTAGCAAGTTTCCATTTCAAGGTAAATCTTTAACATTATTTTTAGACAGTAATGAGTCTCTTATGTATTCTCTGTGGTCTTCCACTTCATTTTTTTCTTATTCAAAATAATGAAAACCTAGTCACTTATTTCTATAAAATATTGAAAATGTTTGATATTTATACCACTAACCCATGACTGCAAAGTAGCCAATATTTGAATTTGATGGAGTACCCCACTGGGTTAGTATTTGTGATTGTCACTCAACTTTAAGAGAATACCTGAAATGCAACCTTCCTTCTCTAAAATTCCCAATTTCATTTTTAAAAGTTCTATACTTGGTTTACTGAAGCTTATTTTCAATAACTTTACTTGATCAAAGTTTTATTCCTTTATTTCAAAAGTTCTTAACCTGGAGCCTAGGAACCCCTTAAGGGTCCATAAATTTCAGTGGATCCATCAAGTTGAACAGGAAACAATTACATCAATTTTCCCGCTAATCTCTAATTGAAATTTAGCATTTACTTCCATTTATTCTATGTATTCAAAAACATTCTGAAAAGTGGTCCATAGGCTTCAACAGAATGCCCATGTGCTCATGATACAATGAGGTTAAGAACCCCTGCTTTAGATGATATGTGCCAACACATCTCAGAAGGACTTAATATCATGTGACATTATAGACCACCATCAACCATCTTTCTTCTATCTGGTTTTTTTTTTTTGCAGTTGGGGTTAAGTGACTTGCCCAGGGTCACCCAGCTAGTAAGTGTCAGGTGTTTGATCTGAAGCTGGATTTGAACTCAGGTCCTCCTGACTCCAGGGCTGGTGCTCTATCCACTGCACCACCTAGCTGCCCCTTCTATCTGTTTAGCAAATGAAGGGGCTTGACTTCTTAGTTCTCATTAATTGCCTACTTTTCTTGGATGTGGTATGTCTGAACATGTGGCAAAACATGTGTGGCCAGTAAAAGACTTGGGCTTATTTACAAAGTCCTATGTATACTTAACCATTTTATGCTCTTCAACAGTGATCTCTTCATAGGAAATAAAACGCCGAGATGAAAATATTATCTAGGAAAGTGAACTCTTCTTTGAGTGACAAATTATTGGAGAAACTAAATCATCATTCATTTTTATATAATTTTAATGGATTTTGTGGTTTTCTTTCCAGGGTCATCTATTTCAATTGGAATCACACAGATTTGAGCGAGGAAGAGGCAGATGTCCTTTTGATCCCAATTCTTCCTTCACTTCTACTTTAATTGGTAATTATCTCCCAATCTTTAGGATGCTGTCATCATGGAAAATGCTTATGCCAATTCCTTAAAATGTTGTCAATATTTCTTTACCAACATCCAAGAATATTGCTGACATTCATATAGATTGCAGCCAGTGCTAATGTAAGTAGGATCAGATGTTACATTGCTTATGTCATCCTGAAAACATAATTGACTGTCACCTAATAGTTGATATAGTAGTAATTTCTTAACTATAAAAACATATTTAGTACAATTTATTTTCTTCACCTTATTAGTAAATCCAGTTTCCATGTGGGAAAGAAAAACTTTTTATTTTAAGTACCTCCTAAAATATTTGCTGAAGATAATTGACTATTCACTTTTGCTATATTCTGTTCCTTATGTTTTCACTGCTTTTTGGTGGGTCATTTAAAACATTAATTCTTCAATTTCTTACTTTATCCCTTCACTTACATATGTACTATGAAAGGTTAAAATGTAGTCACTGTAGATTCTGTTATTTTCCTCTGTGAACTGTGATTTCCTAAATGTACAGAACTCTTAGCAACAAAAACTTTTTCTCTCCCAAAGCAGATCACCATCTGTTTTACAACTTATAATCTTAGGGAATTGCCTAGGGACAATGAGAGGTAAAGTTACGAGTCATAGATCACACATCCAATATATATATACGAGAAACTGGAATAGACCCTGGGCCTTCATGACTTTAAGGACAGCTAACTATCAACTACACATTGCTTGTTCTCTCTGGATATTTTAGTTCTGTTTTTAATATTGTCTCCCAAATTAGGGAAAATCTAAGATTATATCTGGAATAACCAAGTCACAGAATCCCTGACTTATAAAGGCCCTCAAAGATTATCTCATTTAAACAGTATATGAATTGAAGTCTCCTTTACAATGTTCTCAACTGTGGTTCTGCCCTTGACTTTCCTCCTTCAAAAACATTCAAGCATACAATGAATTTTTTTCTCTTACTTCAGTATTATTTGGAACTGTAATGGCACATTTGTCAAAATATTCCTGTATCATGATGAATTTGCAGCTGAAAATTGAAGGTATCAGCACTTTGCACCTAACTCACTAGAGGTATTAGGAGAAATGAATTAATGCTGGTGTTAAGTTTTTCCCTTAGCCTTGGCTAGGTGGTTCTGAGTAAATATGAATATCTTATTGAATTGGCAGGATTTAAAATTATCACATGAAATATGTGAGTGTGATTAAGTAATAAGGGAAGAATATAAAACCAAGATAATTTAACAACATAGCTAGAATTATGTAAAATTCTGCATGGTTTTCTAATTAATTAGAATTTGTCAGGTTTTCTGGATCACTTTAGGGATGAAGTTTCATAAATAAATGATTTAAATAGTAATAGTAGCTTATGCTGCAGTTACACACTTATCATGCAAAACCATTGTAATAACATGACTTAAAGTCAGAAAAAAACTGGTTTTAAATTTTGTCTTTAGCACTCATTAGCATTATGATGTTGGACAAAACACTCTACCTTTCTGAAATTTTGTGTCCCCATCTGTAAAATAGAAGTAATGATAATTATGCCATTTACCTCACAGTTATGAACAGAAGACATGGTAAATTTTTACATTTATAAAAAATATGAGTTATCAAAAGTAGGCCATGGAAAGGATTTTCATTCAAGGGCAGAATTAGAGGCTCAAAAAGAAATTTTAAAAAGGCTATGGAGTAGAAATTAGAGGCAGCAACCCAACTGAACTCTTTCAATATTCCCCTCTAAACAACTTTAAAATTATTTTCTCAGGGCAGTTAGGTGGTACAATGGATAGAGCACCAGCCCTGAAGTCAGGAGGAACTGAGTTCAAATTCAGCCTCAGACCAAACACTTGTCACTTACTAGCTGTGTGACCCTGGGCAAGTCATTTAACCCCAACTGCCTAAAAATAAATAAATAAATAAAATGATTCTCTCAAATCAAATTTTGGAGTGGCAGAGCCAAAAAAAAGGTCAAGGTGAGACATTTTTCTGGCATAAGAAAACTTAAGGGGGCAGTTAGGTGGCACAGTGGATAGAGCACTAGCCCTGAAGTCAGGAGGACCTGAGTTCAAATGTGACCTCAGACCAAACACCTGACACTAACTGAGTGACCCTGGGCAAGTTACTTAACCCCAATTGCCTTTAAAAAAAAAGTTTCACAAATGTTGGGGCAGTGAGGTGGCACAGTGGATAGAGCACTGGCCCTGAATTCAGGAGGGCCTGAGTTCAAATCTGGCCTCAGATACATAACACTTACTAGCTGTGTGACCCTGGGAAAGTCACTTAACCCCACTGCCTAGCAAAAAAAAAAAGAAAAGAAAGGAAAACTTAAGGGGTCAGGTAGGTGGCACAGTGGATAGAGCACTGGCCCTGGTGTCAGGAGGACCTGAGTTCAAATCTGAACTCAGTCACTTGACAATTACTAGCTGTGTGATCCAGGTTAAGTCACTTAACCCCATTGCCTAGTCAAAAAAAAAAAAAAAACAAAACTTAAGAGCTCCATAGGAAAGGTCTGTGACAGCTGGGTGGAAGCCTATCTGGAGGCAACTTATGTGGCAGCAGTAATAGCAGTGGGCCTTGGAGGTGGCAACAACAGCAGTGAAATCAGCAGCTTCCAGAGATGTCAACTCAGAGATGGTAAGGGGGTCACACAACTGAAAAGAAAGAGATTACAGTGGGCTTTTTGCTGGCCCTGGGTATAGTTGGCACTGATTGTCAACTCTATTGCCCATATGCAGTTCTGGGTCTCAGTTCCCCATCAGAGAAGAGAGATTGGAGTCAGTCACAAGGGAGTCATCAATGCTTGTGCCTGCAATGGAGCAGGGGCTTTTCTTGGGAAAGATCAGAGAGCCTCAATGAGTCATAACCACACCTCTAACTGAATCACACCACCTTGGAAACACTAAAAATTTGCAGCCTCCCAGAAGTAGCTCTGCAAACAGCAACACAAAAAAGCCTGGAAAATAGATTGAGGGATCATTTGAGAATTTTTGGATGATCTGAAAATCATAATAAAAAAAAAAGAACCTACTCATCATATTTCAGAAATTGTCAAGGAGAACTGCCTCAATATCTTAAATCCAAAGAGTAAACTGGAAATTGAAAGACTTCACCGATCACTTCCTGAGAAAGATCCCAAAATGAAAACAACCAGGAATATTATAGCTAAATTCTAGAACTCCTCGATCAAGGAGAAAATACTGCAAGCAGCCATAAAGAAACAATTCAAACATCATGGAGCTGCAGTCAGGATAACACAAGATTTAGTGGCTTCCATTATAAAGAATCAGAGGGCCTGGGATATGATATTCTTTTTAAATGTCACAAAATTTATGTGTACATATCACATATATGCATGTAATATGTAAGTATACAACATGTCAATACTTTATATCTATGTTTGCTTTTTTTTCTTTTTCAATACTCTTAGGTTCTTCATAGTTTTAACATTCTAAGACTCTGACTGTGGACTCATCAATAATTTTTCTAAGCATAAAAATTTGAATATATATTTATTCATATATATTTATTCAAATAAATGCATAGTAATTCCAATTTAATAGCTAGTCATTTAAATTTAAGCTGTTAATTTAAGAAGTAACAATTTAAATAAGAATAAAAAGAATTAAAAAAGAAGAATACAAAACAAAAATGTTGTTATAGGAAGAAAGTTGTACATTATGTTATGCTCCATGATTAAACCATAGCAAGAGAATCTAGAAGATGGGAGACTTTTTTTTTTTTAGCATTGCTTCTTAACAAGACAAAAATGTCTTCTTTTTTCTTAAACTATTCTACCAATCACCACTTAGCATCCCTGTAGTCTGGAACTTAAAAGATGAACATTAAAAGAGGGGGAATGTTACAAGAAGGGACAATTTCAAGTGAGTTTCTACCATGCTTCCAAATAGAACTACATTTCATTGAAATATAAAGTGCTTGCTGTCTGGGTGGCTTTTCCTTTTACTCAGAACAGAAATCAAATTATAAGAGCTCTCCAAGCCAAACACAAAAGTTATAGAATAATCTCTCCAAAGAAAAGAAATAAAAATAAAATTCTTCACATTTATCCATTCCTTTTCATCCCAAAGTACTTTCAAGAGATCATTCATTCACTGTTGAAATGAAGCAGCCGCTGGAGTGGAAACATGATAAGCAGTGTGAGCCAGCAGCACTTTCAAAGAAAGGATGTGAAGAATAATTCACCCAATTGAAAAAGCAGCAGGAATGTGGGCAGGAAAATTGTAGCTACCTGAGTTGGAATTTGGCAGGCATAGTGAAGCTAACCCCAGCAGTGAAGAATGCCCTATATTATGTTTTATGACCACACATTCACTACTGATGTGTAAAGGTAGAACTGGAATGGAAAGATGGTAATGATACTTTAAATGTATGTAGTCTTACAATTTATAATGCGTTTTTGTATCCACTATCTTGTTGGATCATCACAACAACCTTGTGAGATGACAAGGCCAGGTAAAGTGATCTCCATCTTCTAGAAGAAGAAAACAACAGTTTCCTACACTTAGTTAATAGAGAAGCAAATATTGATGTCAACACTATCTTTTTGCTCATTGTAGATGTCACACCCTCATTTTTATTTTTAATAACAAGTCTAGTTATGTAGAGTCTAAATGTTAGATTGAGTGTCTAGTCTAGGTCTTAAGGTAACCATTTTCAAATAGTCTAGTCTAGGTTTTAAGGTAACCATTTTTCAAATAGTTGAAGGGCTGCCATAAAGAAGATGGATTGAATTTGGTCTACTCAGTAGTAAATGGAAGTTGCAGAGAGGAAAGTTTAGGTTTAATGAAAAGAACAACTCCTAACTAGAGCTATCCCAAAATGTAATGAGCTACCTGAGGAGGCACTAGGTTACCCCTCACTGTTTTTCAAGCACAGGAGCAATTGTAGGGGATAAAGAAGATGACAGTTTTATTATAGATTAGAATATAGAACTTCTTTAGCTTCCTTATGACCTTGAGAAACTATGA